CAAGACTTTCCGTATGATAACCCCATTTCATATGCTCATAGAAAACAACGCCCAAAGTCTTCGTGGTGGAAGAGAATTCGATTATACTGCTATTTAACATGATATTGTAGATTCATTGATTTCATTGAGGGGGTATTTGGAGCGAAAAAGAACAGCTTTTGTGTTGGAACAAATTACAAGTAAATAAATTTTAGGGGTCCAGCTGTATATCTTTTGTCACGGTGAGTGCAGTTTTGACACCCGTACAAGTGAACAAATCTTTATCTTATCCTCCAGCAATACAAGTATAAGATGAGTTATATGCTTCACGATACTGCTTAGTGATTACTCGAAAAATCATAAAAGCGTCTTCACTGCACGGCATAACGTGCGCAGGGGTAGCGGCACGGCGCCACTCATCAAGCAGGGCCAAAAATCGCTTCTACATAAGTGAGATATGAAGTTTAAAGTTTGACAGGAGCCTGTCTGGTCGGGATGATACATGGTTGAAGGTAAAAAAAAAAAAAAACCTGGAGGCACTGCGCCCACCAAAGTAAAAGTAAAAAAAACACACACACACACGCACGGAAAAAAGACGTTTCGGCTCCCACGCAGAAGCTTTATTCACAGTGAAATGAATGTGCACATGTTTGGACATGACTTTGTACATGTTTTCATTTCACTGTGAACAAGGCTTCCGTGCGGGAGCCGAAACGTCATTTTTTCTGTTTTTTCTTTTTAAACTTTTACTTTGGTCGGCGCTGTGCCTCCACGTTTTTTACCTTCAACCATAAGTGAGATACACTTAAGGTTTCGCCAGGAGATTTTAGCGGTGTCATGTAGGCACACACACAAACACGCACACAAGCACACACAAGCAAAGGTATGTCATGGTGGTATTGGTGTTCTGTGGATAAGCAGTGACTGCCCTGAAGATCAGACCTCTTGGTAAAACGTTGATTCCAGCAACAAGCCCCGTTCGATTATTGTTCATCTCAAGTGGTTAACGGAAAGAAGGTTTATGATTTACAGCTTATCAGTTTTGCGCTTTGGGCAGGTTGGTGTAACATTCTGCGGAATAAAGGAGAAGCGACAGGAGACGAGGACACAACGAAAAGGGCGTACACTTGGCGTCAACTTTCACGCAAGACTGTTTTACAATGGGGAGAAGCCACCCTAGCAATGAACGTAATGTGTTGGGTGTTCGATCAAGAACAGAAATGTGCGAACGATTAAAACGTGGTAACATTTCCGGACTTGATCAGAACATTATAGAGGTAAGGACTATTCAAGCCACAGCTTTCTGCCAGTTTCTTTTATGGTGTTGTTGTTCCAGATTTGCGCCCACCCAGTGTTCAAGGTCAGTAGGTTTTTACCAAGAGAAAGATAGAGACTGAAGTGCTAATCTGTCCTCTTGCATGAACACACGCTCGCAGTCAATTCTTCGAAAATTTCGACCACTCTTTAATTATGAAAGTTCTGCGTATCATGCATGTTAGCGCATTGTGGTTTCCTAATTTATTTGTCAGGCACACGTGACTCGGTCGTTGTGGGACGAAAAACGTCGCTGATCGATTCCCCTTCTCGTTATCTTAGACTCTACAGCTTCACTAGTTATATTAATAATAATAATTAGTGGTGTACGCAAGCAGTAGGGCCGTAGCAATCTAACGATTTTATGCAAACGCTTTTCATTTTCCACGTTCATCAGGTGTTCACCCGAGCGGCGCCCCGCGGAGGTGATCAACGGGATTTTTTATTCGTGAACAGTAGATGATAAAACAAAAACCCGTTTACTATGTAAAATACGTTGTGTACAAGGACACGACCATCTTGGGCTGCTAAAATAACTCTTTTGTTATCTTTGTATGTTGACGACGTGAACGAACGTCAGAAGCACCAACCCCACCGTTTCCATGCAAATGTATATACCGCAGTGTTCGTCGAATAGTTAAAAATACAAAAACTTGGAAGTCAGTGATAAAGTTGCACTGGAGCCCACGGGTAAAGTGATCTCTAGGTTCTCCAAACGATGCGATAACGCGAGCAGTTCTTTGGCTTGATGCTATTTCGTCATTATCACCTACCGTCGACGGCACGTCGATTTTCGTGATAACGTGGGCGGATCGCCGTGTCGTCCGAAGTGCAACGTGCTTGGCTGTCCACAAGGGTGGTGGTAGTGGTTAGAAGATGAGAAAAGGCACCTAATTTCTGCAACCCGGTCGGGAGCACGGCGCAGTGCCTGTCCACAAGGGCACTTGTGTGCACAGACGTAGGGAGCTTTCAAAATCAACCCGACACCTTCTCTGCAGGCCTCTGCTTCCTCGAGTCGCTGAAAAGCGGAGCGAGTTCGTCCGCATCTGCGATCGCAACAATGCGGACACGCGCGCAAAGAGTAGGCGCACCGACCTAGAGGGATGTGAAACGTCAGCGAAAACACAGGAGAAAAAGAAGAAAAAAAATGATCAAAGACGAAATGTCAGAGTGAGCTGCGCCTCCGCTGCAGCAATGCACTGCCGTCACGCTCCGTCAAAGAGCGGCTCTCCGCCGAGTAGCAAGAAAGCAGCGTCGGCGGCAGAGGTGCACTTTTCTTCAGCACTACTGCCCCGTTCCGTTCTCGTTTGACCCCGAAAACTCCCGCGCCGCTGATACACGAGTTCGCGTTGTTGCGCGCCCACGTGCATCACACAGCTCGAGCAGGCGTGGCGCCGCCTATCTGTGCAACGACGAGTCCCGCTGACATCGAGCGAACAAAACTCGGCGCTCGGAATCCCCGACGCCGTCACACGACACGCCTTCTTCGTTATTTCGCGGCGACATCCATTTTTTTTGTTTTATTATTATTGTTTTTTTTTCTGGGAGGGCGTGGAGTGGGGAAGACTACCAGTATCTGTGGCTGCTTGCGTTCATATTTTAACATTTTTTTATGCGGGAAGAAAAAGCAAGAGAGAGAGAGAGAGAGAAAAGGAATATAAGAAAGACAGGGCGGTTAACTCGACTACGCTCAGTTTGCTACCCTACACACTGAGGAGGATAAAAAAGCGAGTAAAGAGAGAGAGAGAAAAGTAAAACCATCGGTGCACACATTTCACAACGCATACAGTGCAGCGCATCACATGCGGTCCGTTAAATCATCGTCGCCTTCAAGAACATACAAGAGTGCCCGTGTGGCTTTCTGAGCTGATGTGCTGTGAAGCCAGCTTCCTCAGATCTCTCCTTCAGTAGAAATCAAATGATCAAATCTCCTCTATGCGAAACAAACAAAGCAGATGGAAGAAGACGTGCCATACAGTGGCGGGTATAAATCTCGCTGGCCGTTGACGGTTCTTTCGGCGAGTGTGTGCGACTTACCCACGCGGGAGTGCTGTTCGGCAATGGCTCTGGCACGTCTTCGGATGGCCGCTGGCCTAGTCTCAGCGGGTCATATTGCTCCAGTTACCACGCCTTCACGTGCCTCCCGAACGTTCTCGGACGTTTCCGGGTTTCTGTGTCGAGGGCCGGCCGACGAGTTCGTGATGGAGATTAATCTTCCCACAGTTCATGTCTTCGAGAGTAAGTCCATCGGGACGACAGGCGCGGCACGCCCCTATAAACTCTGACGAAAAAGATGCGTCACAAGGTTTACTCGTGTATCGCCTCGTCGAACAGAAAATGTAATATCAGACGCGCTTGCTCCACGCCCCTATCTGCCCACGAAAGCCGTATACAACTATAGAGCCCGTGGATAAATGGACACGCAATCTTGTTGGACCAAGACATTGCTTACAAGTGAAAGCACCGAACGATGCAGCATTATTTCATCGAACATTATCAGTACATTTACATTTTGATCACTCGTTAGGTGTTTGCTGCGTTCTATATTCACACACACACACACACACACACACACACACACACACACACACACACACACACACACATACACACACACACACACACATATATATATATATATATATATATATATATATATATATATATATATATATATATATATATATATATATATATATATATATATATATTGGTAATCACCATTTTATTTGTCCTACCCTCTCAAGTCTTCTTTTTTTTCTTTTTCTCATTCATTGGTCCGCATCGGTGAATGTTACAGACAAACGCAGACGGCACAACACTGTATCTTCCTCTCGGGACAGATATAGTATGTCGGCAGTCGTAGAGATGGGTCGAGAGAATGCAATCGATGATGCGTGAACGATTATGCTTGCGACTTCTGCAGTATCATGTTCTGCGTCAGCTTACTTAAGTATCGACCCCCGTCAATATTATAAAAAAAAGGTATAGAAACAACGTTTGCTTGCATAGCTTCATCGGCCAAGGTCATTGCCGGATTTACCGCAATGACTTGGCATCCACTGAAGCAAAACATTGTGTCTTTTTCCAATGGCATATTGCAGCATTTCTCGTATCTCCAGCCCAAGTTGTTAGTACGATCCGCGACGAAGTGCCGGCAAAATATATTGTAGAACTTACCCATTTAGGACTGAAATGGCTGACAGCGCTGAGTGCGACGTCAATGGAACAAATGGACATCTTTTGTGTTTACTGCCCGACTTACTGGTCCACATCGTGCTGTCATTGTTCCTTCGTGAAAAACAGGGCGTTTAAACGCTTCTCTATCTTAGTTTAAGGAAGTGCACTCAAGTCAAATTAGATCACGTATCACGACTAGCTCCCATCAATAGCACAGCTACCAGAGTCGGATGCCGTCAGAGCTGTACCTATTCTCCAGCATCGCACTGCAGAGCACGGGGAAGCGTGGTCCTCACAACGCGCGATGCAGGTACAAGACGTTAGCTAACCATCACTCGTCGCTCGTGAAAGAACGCGAGGCGCCGTCGCACGACCGCGTGCCAGAAAGTCGCGCTCGCGTGTGGTATATACCGCTGCCGCTTCCTTGAAAGCCGGCCTCAGCCGTCGCGGAGCGAGAGGTCGTTACATGTCGTCGCCCGCGCCATCCCGATGACACAACGGCACGCCACTGTCCTCCCCGCTCGCAGGTGCCGCAATCCGGTCAGGCGGGAGGCGAGCTTCCTCGGACACCGCCGTCCCAAAGCAAGAGAGGTGAACGGAGAGGAGCAGGAAAGAAGGGCGTCGGACCAGCTTTGCCAAGGCGACCGCCATGGGCCATCATGCCGCGGGGGTCACAGGTGAGTGAGACAGTTTTGTCTCTGCGTGCTTACCCTTTCTTGCACGTCACGCAAGGAAGCCGCCGACCTTGTATAGGAAGGAAGGAGCGTCCGCTTCCTGGATCGCCGCAGCAACAGAGGAAGTGTAGTGGTTCACCGCTGTGCCACTTAGGCCTCGTGCACGGCTTTCTCCTTTAGTCCTTTGGAGATGGTTGGAACAAAAGGGTACCCACCCTGCGGCGAGTCGGTTTCGCACGATCTTCAGAGCAGGAACTGCGCTTCAGGCCCGACCACCTCACAGGTCGTGCCCGCCGATAGACATTAATGCAACAGGAGACGTGGGACGTGATGGCAAAGGCGGCCAGGCAGTGTATAGACCGTGTCCACAAACTTCTGCTTCAGTGTATAGACATGGGTGTGGGTTATAAGAGCTGGCGCCCATGTGTTTTGTAACAGATGAAATAAATATAGCTCATCCTCGTTATATATATAAGCCTCCGCAATGACAACGGTGTTTATTAGGGTACCACCCTTTTGTGGACGCTTATAGGTGACTTGTTGGGTTGGGACAAGTGGTTAGTTTCGTCTTCAATACAAACCTGGTCCACCCTAGGTACAGAGTTTGAGCATACTTTGCTGCATCCTTTCTGTTCTTTGTTCGTATAGACAGACGGCTCTGTAGCTCGCATTTGGCAAATAATCTTCAGCTTCCAAATGACAATTAGGATCATTGAGTGATTACGCACACAATGTGGCCACGTCCCCGGAGACGCTTAATCCTCCAACAAAGAGGGCCTCACCCTACTTTAGTTAATGGCAGTAATAATAAACGTTCATTATCTCTGTGTATAACGATGACATACGTGTTCTGGACTGCCAACATAAAATTCTTGAGGGCTCGCTTCTTTGTCTGGCACCCTCTGCTGGTTTTTATCAACATATATCCTGCAGAGTAGCACGAAGAATATGCGCCTAATATGCAATAAAGAGCTAAAGTGACTTCGTATGCATTCTAGACACTACTTGGCTTAACGCTTTGTCTTGCGCGTGCTATCTCACACTGCATGGTCCTTCCATATTCAAGTTTGGTATCCTGAGTGGTCGTCGTAGCACTGTGTAATCCAGCGGCTGCAGTGCAAGGAAACGGCATGGCAAGTGCCAAGTGCTCTTTTGAAGGCTGTACGCTAGATGCGCGGCTTATACACACGAAGAAACAACCAGGAAGGCACGCCGCCCCCGATGTGCTGCCGACGCAAAGGCATCGCGTATAGTCTAGCCCGAATACCGCGGAACAGTGGCAGCAACGTCCCCTGTCGACCCAGTCCTGCGAGACGGTGACAGGTGTCAGCCATCGAAAGCGTACAAAGAGAAAACGGACGGCCCCGTTAGAGATCAGGTTCGACAGTTCCACAGAGAGGAAGCTATGGTCTGGTCTCGACACACAGTACCATCGCCCGCCACACTGTGGATAGTACGTCTTCATCGGCGCCTGTGCTAACAAACAAACAATGGCGCGTACGTCCCTAAGCTGCCGGTCTCCTCCCCCTTTGTGTCGCGCCAGACTCATCTGCCGCCAAAAAAAGCAGCCGCGAGAGCGCTAACGAATCGCGAAGACGCGTTTGTTTCAGGCGCCGTTCAGCGACGGCGAGTTGACGACCTCGTTCGCCGCGGTCGGTATACTAGTCCCTTATCGCTGTCACGGACCTCCGTTGACGAGCGCTTCGTCCGACACGGTTTAGATTGAACGTTTTCATATTCCATGTAACGATTTCGGCGAAAGGTCGTACTAATGAAGTTAGGGATCGCTGGATATTGGTCGTTTGGTGAAGTCGGAATAATAAGTCATAGCGCGAAAGAACGCAGGGGGGACATGTCGGCACTCTGCAGCATCATTTAGTAGGATCTATACCGTCGTACCGGTTAAGGCCACGCAGTTTTTTTTACGATAATGGTGGTGCGTATATGGAGGACCCCTGACGTTGAGTTCCAAGAATAATTTAGTTCCCACGTTTACCCCCAAAAGCCGGCGACTTTTAGAACGGCACCGCTTCATTTTTCATTTGTCTCTTTCTTTCGGACTCGACCATCTAGAGGCGGAGGAAGTAAAAACTTAGGTCTTCCTAATGACCCCTGCGTACGAGTATATGCAGCTCACATAAGTATTTCGCCTCAGATTCCTCGTAGAGGGCCTCTCTAAACACCGCATTCAAAGACGAAGGAGTGGTTTCTTCCTCGTATTCGCTACCCTTACTATATCTCCTCCTCGCCACTAAGCACGGGTAAGCGTGCATTAAGCACGGGTAAGCGTTGGGCCTATCAAGATTTCGCGCTTGTCGGCTACGCTGTTATCTCCTCTGACCTGACGGCCCAAACGGGCCTTGGTTGAGCGTGCCCGGGCCGCGACCGACGCCAATGGGCTCCCGTAAAGGGGTGCCCACCTAGTGTTTGTACGGGGCGGCCCCTTAAGAACAGCTCCCAACCTTCCCTGTACATTACTTACAGAATTAAATGTTTTTAATCATCACAATCTCTGCTCACGCAGCCGGAAACACGCAAAATGAAGTGAAATCAGTTGATCGCTCACGAAGCCACGCTCACGGACAAGGAATAACAGATGGGCGGCTGCAACTGTGGCTAACCAGCCCAGTGTACAATTCGCTTCTGACATTTCGAGTACGTGGACCAGTCGAGAGTACGCATACATTATAGAAGTCACGGGAACCACTGTTTATGCGTCACGAAGTGCGCGCGTCAGAAAGACGAGAGGGTGAAATACGCAGCAGCTGATGAGAACCTCAACGTGCACGCCGTATAAACGTGACGACAGCGGCGATGACAACGCGTGCAGCCTATGCGACACGACCGCCTCGCATCTCGCGCGGACAATGTTGCTTGCGTTTTTTTTTATTGATTCATCCACACATCAGTGGCGTGGCCTGCGATGCATGCATGTACGTGTCATGCACTGGCGACCTACACAGCGTGCAGCTCCAAGCGAGTTCGGGCCGTCGTCACTTAGATCCTTCGGACGGGTCTTTGGGACAGGTTGCGTTAATGAAGTCGGCGAGGACGTATAACGACATTATGGGACGAATTGTCTAGGAGAACGACCGAGGCGTGTACGGCGTACGCGATCACTCATGTCCCGCGCATGATGTCGGTCGTCGCTCCAGGACGCAACAGTGTGTTCGCCTCGTTCTGCGTATAACGGCAGGTCACTTTAACGCGCTCAGACGTTTCGGCGATGCATAACAATGAGAGCAAATCGGCCGAAATACGATGATGATATAGGGCGAATCCTGTCGGCGTGTTGTTGGGAAACGAGAGAGTGGCCAGATGCAATTAGGTCGAACTGATATTAATCGGCAGTAAGTTTCTTTAAATGTAGTGCTAATAATAATAATAATAATAATAATAACAATAATAATAATAATAATAATAATAATAATAATAATAATAATAATAATAATAATAATAATAATAATAATAATAATAATAATAAATTACGACGACGACGACGACGATGATGATGATGATGATGATGATGATGATGATGATGATGATGACGACGACGACGACGACGACGACTTCAGTCATGACGCACATCCAAAAGGGGACGGATGTAAACAGGATACGTAAACTAAAATATTAGGCACCTTGATGAGAAAAAAAAACAGAAACAAATAAACAAGAAAGGAAAGAAAAAAAGAAAGAAATAGAAAGAGGAAACATTAGAGGACAACGCGAAGCAGTTTGTGAGGATGCTATACCGTCCCCATGGTTTAGGTGGTACTCACACCCACAACCTGGTTCTCCATTAGAGAGTGCCAAATATAAACCCACCCTCTTAGCCAAGTCCAAAGGAAGACAAGCTTAAAAGAAAATTACCGCAGCTTTCACTAAGTCGGCGTGCAACGCTAGGTCACAGCAGAGCTGGTGGGCACAGCTGGTCCTGACTTGGCTCGGCTTTCGCCCTGTCGCTTTCCCGCTCTTTACTATTACTATGCATGGCTATCCTTGTTCTATTTTTTTTTTACTTTTTTAGTCTGTGTGTTTCAATCTCTTTCTGTCGATTTGTTTCCGTCTTTCTCCTTCTCTCTCTATTTACTCTTTCTCCCTTCCTCCTCACACTCACATATTTCCTGCGTGTAACACTAACTGTCCCTTGTGCAAAGCTTCTATATTTATTGAGTACTTCTATATCAAATGAAAGGCGCAAATAGATAAAAATGACGCTTCGTCCTATACTGCCTAGATAAGTTCACCATTCTGACAAGGCTCTCGTATGTATTTTTTTTTTTCATCTTAGGCTTCGTGATTCTCTTCTTGGTGTTGACCAAGTGTCCTGCTGCCCATGGGGAGGTATGTGATTCTACTACATTATTTTTTCTTCTCGTTATTATGTGTACTTGAAAATTCCACACATGGAAATGTGTAAAGTTTTCGCGTTGTTCTCCCGCTAACAATCGGAAATAATGCTTCATTGATGCAAAGATTCTTAGACGTCCTACTCAGAAATGATGAAAACGAAAAGGACTCTAGTGCATTATTCGAGCATACAAGGTTTCTGCGCCATTTATTTCATGATGCCCCGCCGCGGTAGTCTAGTGGCTAAGGTACTCGGCTGCTGACCCGCAGGTCGCGGGTTCGAATCCCGGCTGCGGCGGCTGCATTTCCGATGGAGGCGGAAACGTTGTCGGCCCGTGTGCTCAGATTTGGGTGCACGTTAAAGAACCCCAGGTGGTCGAAATTTCCGGAGCTCTCCACTACGGCGTCTCTCATAACCATATGGTGGTTTTGGGACGTTAAACCCCACATATCAATCAATCTATCAATCATCATTTATTTCATGTTTCGAGCAACAAGTAAACAGGATGCGCAGTGGTATACGTTTTGTTATTTAGTGTGAAACATCGCAGTGTATGTCCAACTACATGTTAAACATGCTGTGGAAAGTAAGCAGTGGTTTCATGAGCAGGTTTTAGATCGGTATAAAAACTATTTTCGGTGCTAAAATTGGCAAAAGCTCTAGCGCTCTAATGCAGTATATACAAACTGTTACACAAAATCTAATCAAACAAAAACATGTATCAGTAAAGTATTAAATTTGGCTATATGTGCAAAGTTTGTATAAATTAAGCCTGCCATATTTACTCACATAATAGAAGCAATGACCGTCATTGGCTGTTCCTTCCCTTGACAACGTAATACGATAATACATGTGTGCTACTATATTGTCTTTGCCTTAATACAATGTATTTTTCTCACACAGAGTTACCCTTAGGAAAACATACCGCAAAAAATTTTGAAACGCAAATGATTACTCTGTGATGAGCTACTGTTACGTAATCAATATCCCTTAATAGTATATATTAAAAGATGATTCTTAACCATCTTGAACGCCCTTTTTTTTCTCCCTCTTAGCCGAAGACAGGCGCACTTGCCGATGACCGCACCACGACTACTCAGGATGCCACGGATGAGAACGCCACGCAGTCGCCTCTGGTGCCTCCACGACCGGGCAGGCGCGTGATCGTGTACATGGGAAACCGTCCGTGGTTCTCCAGCATGTACGGAGTAGCCGATGCCAGCCGGACCGAGTACCACGTGCCTTCTGCCGAAACAAAGACGTCGACGACGGCGGTAGTCAGAAGGAGCGACGCTCCGTCACTTTCGCCCCAGGAAAGTGGTCACACCGGCGTCGCGTCCGGCCCCGTCAGCGACAAGGTGAACAAGCTGAGCAGCGCCACTCTCCTGGCCTCAGAGACCACGAGCAATGAGGCCAGCACCGAGGCCGAGAACGACAGGTCCGACCTCATCGGCGAGCTTGACGTCAACAAGCATCCTCCCCCACCCCTGCCGCCGTTCAACGGCCCAAATATCGAGTACCGCACGACGACCGTGCACCACACGTCGGAGCCCAGAAACGACGACAGCGCCGGACTTCCAGCAGGATCGTAGAAGCAGCGATTCTAAAGAGGCCTCCCCGGCGGCGGTGGTCGGTGCCAACCGACGTGCAGCCCTGCAGGAATCCACTGCCGGCAGGTCTTCTTCCGCGGAGCTGAGCGCAGCCAGACAGGAAGCACTCGCGGACCGAAACCTTAACTCGAGGTATTTCACGTTTGGTCCCGGAAGCGCTACGACTGGCAATGGAGGAGGCTCCAAAAGTAACAGCGCCTTTGCGACGACCTCCGGTAGAGACGACAGCGAGACGTCGCGCGACTACGATCCAGCACCGTTCAACGACGGAGACGACCGCTTCAACCAGCAACGCCAGACGTTCGGTGCAGCTCAGGACAACCGGAGACCCGCTCTGCCATCGCTTCCACCTCCTCCTCCGCCACCACCGCCACCTGCGCCAACAGCGTCTCCTCCTACGGCGTCGACTTTCGGCACCACCCGCGTCCACTTCTCCTTCCCATCCGAACCCGCCATCTTCGGCAACAACAGCCTTGCAAATAGGGGCGACTTCCAGTTCGAGACGTCTCACGGTCAGGACTCCTCGTCTGCCCAGAGAGACGGTGACGGCAGATCTTCTTTCACGAGCGCCGAGCAGAGAACGACACCTGCGGTGAGGAGTCAAGATCTGCGCCAATTCCCGACGTTTTCTACATCACGTGCTCCTGCCTCCGTAACCCCACCTCCACCACGGCAAACTGCGAGCGCTGAAAGAAGTTTCCAGGCATTCGCGAACCAAAGACAGGCGCCCGTCCCCAACGCGCCTTCTTCGGCGGGCCAAACGCTGCGCTTCAACTTCAGGCAATCCAGTGGTCAAGAGAGAACGAACCCGCCACCACCACCACCATCCAGATCATTTCAGACGCCAATCACAAGCTCTTTCGTCACTTACTTCACTAATTCAGATTCGAGGGATTCACAGAAATCTGCACCACTGACGGAGACTCGGGACAGGCAACAAACTGAACCACGTCTGAACTTCCGCAGCGGCAGCTTCCGAACGACACCGCCACGCCCACCTCCCCAAAGGCCAACATCGACATCCACCTTCCAGGGACCGCCATCTTCGCAGACGCCGCGTGCAGCCTCGAGGAACAACTTCGAAGACAATAACGACAGGTCACGCGAGTTCTCGTCACCGAACTCTAGAGGTCAAGTGACTTTCCGCCCGAACGTTTTTCCGGTTGACCCTCCATCGAACACATTCGCTTCAAACCAGAGGACGCAGGACGGATTCAGTTCAAGTGCAAGATCGCAGGAAGACTTTACCTCTAATCCGAGAAGCCAGAGCTCGTTTTCACCCGCCAACACAGCGCCACGGGTCCCTTCTGCTCCAAGGAGCCAAAACTCGTTTTCTCCTGCCAACACTCTACCACGGGGCACATCGGCACCGAGAAATCAGAACTCGTTTTCACCCGCAAACACACTGCCGCGAGCAAACTTCCAAACTAGTCAGTCTCCCAGAAGCAATTTTCAAACAACCAGGCCCTGAACAATTTCCAGGCAAACCAAAGGTCTCAAAACGACTTTTCCTCAAGCTCCAGGCCGTCAAACAGTTTTGATAGCAATGTCAAGGACCAGAACAGAGCTCAAGGAAACTCAAGAGTTCAGGATGTCAGGTTTCAGAGCTTCGGCAACAGCCAGAACAACTTCCAGTCAAACGGCAGACCACTTTACACAAGCAACCAGCCGAGCACACAGGCACCGGCACAGCGCTCCCAGACTGGTTTCCCCGTAACCCAGAGGCCTCCTGTCTCGTTTCAAGGAAATCAGAGAGACAATAACGCCTTCACAAACAGCCCCCAGCAGAGAACCCAGAACAACTTCGCAGGAGCAGACCAGTCGCCACGTGACAGAATTCAGACAAGTCAGCGCCTCCAGGAGGCTCCCCGTGGAAGACCGCAGAACAGCTTTCAGAACGTGCCTCCGCCACGTCCGCAGTCACCATCGATCTCCCCGCCGGCTGTTAGGAACCCGGCACCGCAGAACAACGGCAACGCGAATCCGCAGGACAACCTAGAACCGTTCCGCAATGACTTTCAGATAGCGCTGAGGCAGCGAGCGTTCTCAGCAACGACAGCTTCGCCTGTGGACAACAACGACGCCGGAGGGAGGACAACGACCAGGCAGAGCTTCCAGTCGCCATCGCAGGCCGACAACGGGGCAACGAAGAGAAAGATCAACAGGGTCGTCTTCATCCCCGGAAACTTCGGTGTGACCCCCACGCGGAGGCCAGACCCGTACCGATCCAAGCTTCCAGGACTAGCCGGCTCTGACTATCCCACGTACAGTGAGGTTCCATTCACGAACTTCAAGTGCTCCGAGCAAAACACTGCAGGGATGTTCGCTGACGTTGAAGCTGGCTGCCAGGTATGAGCGCGCAATGTGTTGGTCCTATATTACGACAATACTGAAGTTCGTGCGTAATACATTTTTGTGCTCTGACCAAACTATACGCGGTCTTATCCATCTAGCTACCAACCCCGTATGAATTAACTCAATCGAATAACGTAAATTAAGTATGCATGCACACCTCGCTCGACAAGCTTCTTCTTTAATTATTCTATTGAATGCAATACGCCCCCAGTTTACAAGAGTAAATATTTGCTACTCCGACATCATAAATCAGCTTCTCTGAAGATTCTCGCATGTAATAATTGTATTAGTTACCGATAGCTGCAGCAGTTAACAATAAAAATATGAAGTAAACAGTTGCTCTTTCTTAGTTAGAAAAACATTTTTCCTGCAAAGGCTGAGGAAATAACTGTGTAGCAATGATTTTAAAAAGAAGAACCTAACTCGACATCTTCATTTCACAGCGGCAAAACGCACACATGGTCACAGTTCTTTTGAATGCATTCACAAGCAGTAGTTTGGCTCAGGGCTTGTTTCGGACAAGAACGCGTCACACCGTGTGCGACACTATTAGCGTGTATCAAGACGTCCCGAGGAGCTAGTAGGTTCACTCTACGCAGGAAGATTAATTGCACGAGACTTCAAAGAGACACCAGATCGAGCGCATTCGCGAGTGCACGATCTCTTTATACGTCTTCTTTGCGGGGTCTCTTTCGAGTTTCATGCAATCATTTTCCTTCACAGTTACAGACATTGGCCGACACAGCTACATTGTCAACAGTTCTTCCTTATGTGGGAGTGGTAGCAATGACGCATGCTCAGCAGCCATTCGCTACTGAACTCCACGATAGTGATCACCGAAGCTAAGCAATGCTTAAACTGTACTCACTGACCACTTGGATGAATGTATATCTTGAACAAGCTGAAATATAACGTTTCAAACAAACAAAAAGAAACTAACAACAACATGTAAAAACTGTTACAGAACGCTCCATTCAGAACTTGATTGTTAGACTGATTGTTGGACTAGTTGTTATTTACCTAATGACATACTTTGGCCGCAAATATCACAAACACAGAGCAAAGGAACACACAAAAACCACGTGTGCTTGTCGTAGTGTGTTCCTTTGCTCTGTGTTTGTGATATTTGCGGCCAAAGTATGTCATTAAGCAGTACTTAGAGCACGACGAGACAGAGCCAATCAGAATAGATGGAAACTATAACTCTGTGCACTGTGCTTAAACTACGTAGAGGTTGTCCTGAGTGATCATCGCTCGTGGAAGTGACGAAAGCAGCCCTCGACTTCTTGACACCGGCGGTTGCAGACTAATGGTGTGATGATGGCTGTGAAGTGTGACATTGTGTGAACCATGCTCTCTTCTATGTATCGCTCTCTCCATCTTTAAAGCTCTCCCAACCCTTCCCCCATGTAGGGTGGCATACCGGTCCTTCTAGACTGATTAACAACCCTGCCTATCCTTTCTTCCTTGTTCCTTCCTTCCCTGGTATCCTTGGACTGAAACACTGCGTGTCGCAGCCTACAGAGCTTGCAACTGTCTTTGCTGTTTCGCGCTTCATGTTCCGCAAAAGTGTGCGCACTGCTATACATTCACTGACTTGTTTTGCGAGTCGTGCACGCTTTCTAAAGCATTTTTTAACTTATTCGCACACTTGCAGGTCTTCCACTCGTGCGACAACAACAACCGCCAGAAGAGCTTCCTTTGTCCCAACGGAACCATCTTCAAACAGGAGCTTTTCACGTGCGACTGGTGGTACAACGTGGACTGCGACTCGTCGCCCAATTTCTTCCACCTGAACGCAGACATGTACACCACTCGGAGGCCCAAGCCACAGGACAGTCAGGACGACGTGAACGGCCAATCCGACTCCGGTCGGAGCCGGTCCTTCTAGCTTTAGGCATTGCCATTGTCATTGTGTATTCACCTCCATTTGCAAAACACACAGAGAGAACAACGACAAGAAAACGTAGGTCGGGAACACTTGATGAGCACACGAATGTCTTCCCGAAGCGACGAAATATAGCCAAGGCACGCGCAATCAAGCACACATGGTAGAGCGCGTGTGTAGAAGGTCAAATCACTTCATCACTTCATGGACAGGGAATCATCACGCAGTTATCGGAGCAGACTCGGCGAAGACACTGCGCGGCCCAGTTATCAAAACTTCGGTGTCCGACGACTAAGAGTTTGCTATCAGTAGTTGTGCAATACTCATTACAGTACATTGTCCAATAAGGCATCTTAAGCCACCTTTCGGTTGTATATACAAGTTACGCGAATTAGGAAGGCGAATAAAGAGATCCCGTTGGAAATAACGTAGATCATGCCAGCGCATCCACGGTATAGTCTCTACGGAACACACATGGTATCCAAGTACGATTGCCAGTGGTTGATTGTGCATACACTGAGGCAAGACAAAGAGTAAAGAGATCACGATACTTTTGACAGTGTGTATGCCGCAAAATAAGCGGAAATCTGAAACAATGATAGAGGGCTTGCAAATTATTAGCACAATGATGCGCTCCGTTTACTAGCTGAGGCAGTTGGGCATCAACCATGAACACATGTCTGCAGTCCAAGGCACAAATATATACGAGCCACAGAAGGCGCGAAAGACGGGAGAGCCTCAGTTTCTTCTTTGCTAAGCAGTGCAGTTGTAAATGAACAAGGTCGTATAGTTTGCGCTTTCTATGTGCGACGGCTGACCACAATATAAATGCAACACCATTTCATTTTGAGGGTTAGGGCATAAAAAAAAAATCGAGATTTCTTTATTTTGCAGATTCTGTGTTCGTAAACTGTAACTCTACGATGTCACCTTTATTAAGGCGGCGCAAAGGTTTACATGCATTAACATGACTATACACATACACTGTATATAACGATATAGTGATAAGGGAAATAGAATATTACAAACACAATATTGTTGCATGGGTGTGGCGGCACCACAATGTAGTGATCCTACAGTCTAAAGGATGTGCGCGAACAAGTGATTTTTGTTTTCCTACTTCGGCATCATCGTAGTGGTTCAACGTTTGTTCGCCGCTGGTGCGAGATATCACACGTACAACGGAACACAGAGTCACACAGTTTATACAGACAAACGGGGAAAATCATGTCCACAGGTCGTGCGCTTCGAAACGAAGCTCTATATCTGTAAAGCAAGCAGCACGCTTGGAACTTCAATAAACATCTGTCATTTTGTTTGTTCGTTGAAATCTGGAGTGTCTCATGGATTGAGCGCGAAGAAGGCGTCACGTTTCTCACGAAGAAAAGCGAATTCGCAACAAAACAGCCGGGGTCGGCTGCTCTTGTAGCATTCTTATTTTTTGCAGAGAACGGAATAAGAAGAGAATAAAGCTAAGCTCGAGTTCTCACGTGTTCCCTCTTTCAAACGGTTTCGGTGTAGGTGGCGTTTTACTGACATGACAGTATAAACCCCATTTGGCGCGTTTCCGGAACATTATCGGGACGGCATGCGACGATAACGGTAAGTGATTATCAGTAAAACTTGTTGCATCCTTCACAGACTAAGAGGTTACAATACATCAAGGAAAACAAGCTAAAATGATGAGCGTTTTCCTGCGCCTGTATTTTCATTGGTGTATTATTTCTTCCTATTCCACGAAGTGGCATCAGCCGGCACAATAGACCAGCAGGTGATGTCATGGTACCAGCAGTGTGCGTCGCACGACGGGCAGAGGGCGCCACTCGTCTCAGCTACCCCCCCCCCCCCCCCCGACGCAGCGCCCTCCCACCACCCTATTATGTCAACCCGTAAGGCTGACGTTACCCCCACCCCCTCCTCCCTATGATGACATTCACGTGTTGACCGAGCCGCTAGCGAGGCAGGCGGGCCTCGCATTTGAGACCCGCAGTATAACCCCTCCCGTTCTTAATGCAAAAGCACTGGCCAGCTCCAACCATGATGGTCAGTGCCTAATGGTGATCTTAGCCGTAGAAACAAAAGGAGCTCGAAGCACCTGGAACGGAACTCTGCAATACGTTTCGTCCATAAAGATGCTAATTCTATTTTTTCCTGATGGATTTCAATGTAAGAAACTACCTCAGATTGTTAATGTAAACGCGCAAAGCTCATCGACACGGCGTACATGCTTGAGAATGAGGCTGTGGAACTAAATATGTGTCCCCTGCTCTTATGTTATCAAGCCGCACGTTTACCGATTCTGTACTGGACATGCACCAGGTTTTCCTTGGTCTTTCATTAAGCACAATGTCTCTGGAAGGGAAACTGTGTGTTCCTATCTGCCATGCAACAAAATATGCTGTGTAATTTATCGTTTCTGTGCATGATATACACAGACTATACTATACCCGCGCATATCTATAGTTGCAATCGACAAAAATTTTCCCTTAAGACCAATTCTGTTTCTATATCATTCAGTAATAATAAAAAAAATGATCTGTTTGTGGGGTTTAACGTCCCAAAACCACCAATAATAAAAAAATTCAGGAGCCCTTCCCCTATAGGAGAAATGGGGACGAGTAAAACTTTGCTGGTGGGCGTGCGCCTGATCTGATGTTTTCTTTCTTTCTTTCTTTCTTTCCTTCTTACTTTCTTTTTCATCACTCAGTGCTCCCTCCTAACGTAAGCGCTCAGCGGCCATAACCGGAACGCAATTTTCGGGTTGAATCCAGGTATGGTGGGCGTAGACCAACTACTGTTCCCCATACAAGTACTCTACCCATTACGCCACGACGAAACATATGAGGCATAGGCAAAACTTTTTTTTTGGGGGGGGGGGGGGGAGAGGAGAGTAGAGGTGGAGAAATCACCTTTTTGATTTGAAGTAGGGGCTGGGCAGGCAAATGTGGTCGAGTGTCATTTTGCACTCTGTAGGCCATGGCAGAAAAATATTTCTGAGGGGAGGAGGCGGGAGGGGGGGGGGGGGGGTCAAGCGCCCGGTGTGCCACCCAATGGACCACTACACGATCGCGGAAATGTGGGTTAGGAATTAAATTTTCCCGAAGTTGCGTCGTCGGCAGAACACATTCGAATGCTTCACTTCAGTTCGCATTAAATGAGCATGGACGCGTTGCCTGTTCAGACACTCGTTTCCAAATCACGGGGAGCCGGTTCAAAACCCCAGCCCGGCAAAGAAATTTATTCTGCTTCATTTATTATTTCGGTGGTACACGCTAGTTGTGGGTGAGGAGGTCTTCTTGGAACATCACCGGCTAAACAGGTCAGTCCCTACAAGCTTCGCTTGAGAAGTCCCGAATAGAACAGAAATAGGTGCTGGATTTCACAGTGCCCGTGCATGCTGATGAGTTGCTTGAGAAACCGTATACTTTTCAACAAGTGTGTACCGAGGAAACTTTTTCGGGTGTGTTCACGAGTACAACGGCTTACTTAAAGCAACTGAAGGTCGATGTAGAGGTGTGTAAATACGTTAGTATCATCCCCAGTGGCAAAGCATGAGAAAAATTACACTATTTCCCGCTAAAGGGAGCCACGTGTAAATGCTAAGCAGCGGGCGCCAACGCTTCACTGAACCTTTACGCTGGCGATCATCACGGCGTTGCACAGGAGAAAAAACTGGGGAGGCGCAAAACACGCAATGATGGACCGGTGTTTCCTACTGGAACGTGGCGGTCTCTCTCGAGCGTTCACAGAGAGCAGACGTGTTGCCCGGTGCTCCCGATTCTGCGAGAGACGCTACCGCGTCAGCCCGCGAGAGACGCGACCGCGTTCCGCGCAGTGCTCCTCGCGTTCCTGGACTCTCATACCCGTTCGAGTCTTGTCAAGGCGAGTAATCTTTACAGATTATGCCCTTGGATCCCTGCCACCGCTTTCGGTGACCTGAGCCCTGTGACAGCGTCCTCTGCTCCTGCGCGTCGCTGGGGCAGCTGTCATCCCGACTACCATGGCAGAGCAGTCCCCTCCATTCTCGGCTACGCCATTGGAACGCCCGTCGCGTTCCCTGGTTCCCACATCGTCACACAGACGCTCAGCGAGCGTCGCGTGCACCCGCGTGCTGTGGAACCTCATCTCCAGTGCCAAAGCGGTGCGGTTGCATCATGAACAGGCACAGAAACTGTGCAGAGTCGTCAGCGAGAAACCGACATCACTTCGCCTACCGGTGCTTGCTGCCGACGTCGAGACAACTGCAAGGGGCCTGACGTCCTCGGCGGCCTCCAGCCCTACCACTAGCACCACAGCATCTTCGACCGCTGTAGCGGCGCATCATACAGCCCAACTCGAAGATGCCGGGTCAATTCTGTGCGTGAACGTCACCGTTCCGCAGAACGTACCACTGCCGTTAGACGAGGAACCTGATATTGCAGACATGGATACTACGTCAACGCGTAAGCGCTCGCGTCCTAGCGAGTCGGGCAGCGACGATGAGGGTGGCTCGCGGAAGATGCACGCAGTAGCGCCTGAACGTGCCACAGTTGCGTGTCTTACCCCAACGTCAAATGATGCGGTTGCCCACGAAGACGCCGTCACACACGCAACTGACGAAATCAGTCAGTCTGAGTTTCAGACCGTCCTCTCCAAGTCTAAGAAGCGCCGACAGCGAGCCTCGACATCTCAAGGACCCGCTGCCCACACTGGTCCTCGTCCCGCCACTGAATCGACGGCTATGCTTGCCCACGTTGCTCCAGGGACTTCTAATGCGCCCACTGCGACTCAGACCGCTCCTGCAGGGGTACGCGCCACTGAACACACCATGCCGGCTTCTGCTTCATCGTCGCTAGACTCGGGCACTATTCTTTTTCGACCAGCAAACGCCAGCGCCTCCTTTCACCGCACCTCTCGTCTTGCCATTGCGCAAGCTCTCTCTGCGCTGCCCGGAGTCAAGGAGGTGAGAGTAAACACGAAAAAGAACATCGTGGCAGCAGACGCATCTACACCAGAATGGATGAATCGCCTACTAGCAACATCGGAGCTCGCAGGAATACCCGTGACTGCCCGCCTCCCTGCTGACCGTTCACAAAGCAGTGGCGTGGTGCAAGGCGTCGATGGCGACTATACCGACGAAGCCCTCCTGGCCGCCGTGTCGTCCGATGTGCCGGTGATTGCAGCCAGGCGACAAGGGACATCACTAGTCTTGCGGTTCGCCTCTCCCGTGCCTCCCACCCGGGTCCGCCTTTTTCGCATGGTGTTCGAAGTGAGGCCATCCCGACCTCGCCCGCTTCAGTGCCGGCGGTGCGGACGCTATGGGCATATCGCCGTCACTTGCCGAGGACCAGAGCGGTGCCTGCGATGTGGTGGCCACCATGGGAAAGACGCCAACTGCACCAACAAATTAAGATGCCTGCACTGCGGCAGGCCACATTCAGCTGATTCCGCAGACTGTCAGCTCTGGCAAAGAGAGCGGCGCCTGGCCACCATCAAGGCATCAGCTCCCACCTACCTGCCTCACCGCGAGGCTCAAGCAGTCTTGCGGGCAAGCCCTAGTGTAACTGATAGTCCTCAGCTGAAGCAGACCACGGGCAAGAGCTATGCTGCCGCAGTGGGATCACCATCCAAGATGACGGTCAGCTCGACCCATCCAGGCCAGACAGGCGTACAACAACGGGGCCCTTCGGCTGGTCTCAAGCACCCAGACTCTACCACGACTCGTCCACCCGCGAAGGTACCTTCCCAGCCTCGTGTGGACCAGGAAAATGCAAACCTGAGGCTCCTGTTAAGAGCAGTTGCGGACCTGCTGCCTCCTGAAAACCAGCTGCGCTCCATCTGCCTTCAGGCAGGTGGCGCGCCCCCTCATAGCAGCCACCATGGCTGACACTCATCCGCATGCTGCAGAGAACCACCGCCGCCGCCGCCCGTGTGTGCTTCAATGGAACGCTCACTCGTTGCGGCGGCGGCATGCAGACCTCTCCTCACATCTCCTGCAGAGCGAGTATGATGTGCTTGCTTTGCAGGAAGTGTACGTAGCAGCGACCGACTTGCGACTTCCCGGATACATCGGTTACCAAAGTATCACGTCGTGTACTCTAGACACGTGCCAGGACGCGCCGTGCATAGCGAGTGCACATCCCCAGGGTCGACCACGTTGTGCAGTGTACGTGCGACGAGAACTACCACATGTGCACATAAACGTGGCTGATGTCACTGGAGGGGCTCTTGAGTGTTGTGCCGTGACGGTGCGGCTTCGCGGTGTGGACACGACAGTGGCCTCTGTGTATGTGCGACCTGGACAGCGGTGGGACGCCTCCATGCTGTTACAGCTCACGGCTAAATTCGGAA